CCCCAAAACCCCAAAACCCCAAAACCCCAAAACCCCGCACTTACATAATAAGATAAATCTTTAGGTTTTCAGAAATCAGGAATTTTAACGTGATTCGCTGAGTATTTTATAATAATCATAGTCTTGGATCGATAGTTATCATATAATTAAATTTATCAATTAATTGCAAGTAAACCTCCACTCTATATACTATATTAATTCATGGAATCCTAACTAAACTACTTAAATCATTCAACTGGCCTCACTACCCCACTTAATGAATTTGAAGCCCAAACTGCAATTAATGCCATTGATCTCTTAACCGACTCTCATTATGAAGTAAAATGCTTAAAACAATCTAAAGTGAGCAGACAACCAAAGATTACAGAATTTTTCCATAAAATGAAGATGCTTAATTCTTACGTAATCTCAAGGACTCAAGTTCACACCGTTAAATCGTATGAGCATGAGAAAATCACTTTTTACTTCAGAATTCTATCTAAGAATAATTAATGGTAAGTTAACTTGATGTTTAATGAAGAATTTAATAGGAGAGGACTAGATTACTCAATTTTCGAAATAGTATTTAAGTATTTGAGTATGGAGGAATGTCAGTTTGTGTTTGCTAGAGTTTGCAAACAGTGGAAGCATCTCTACTTCAAGATGTTCTGCAGCTACTCCTCACTCAAGATGATTGACAATGCTAACCTCCAAGCAAAGGAACTCAAGATCATACTCGATCAGGGAAGTAATCTCGCTCACATCAGGATGCTTAAAGAGATCATCAAAAGGGATTTTAAGAATTAGATCAAGTTTTTCAACTAAAACATCGTCATGCAAGCAAAAGTTGCAGAGAGGCTTTTTGACAATAACTAAACAGGAGCTATCACTAGCAAGAAAGGAAATCAGAGACTACTTCAATGCTTCAAGATCAAGACTAAGGCTATTAACTCCTAATACAATTTTATCTCTGATGGATCCCTAGTGAGACTCTGTTAAAAATCAAGATCTTCACTTGAAGAGATCTGCATCAGAAATGGAACTTATTTGAGTAATCAGGCCATCTCTAAAAGTGTATGCATACTTAAAAGTCTTGTCAAACTTGATCTTTCATACTGCCGCCAGATTGATGACAGCGTTTTGACCGATATTGCAGATAACCTACCATAACTTTAAAACATAGGCCTCAGATTTCTGAATAAAATTACTAAAGAACCATTGATAAAGATATTAGAGAATCTTAGACAGCTAGAGGGCTTGGATATTTCTGGCTGTTTCTCAATAGACTTGAGTTTTATGACAAAGCTTAGAGGCAACAAAACTCTCAAGTGCCTGCTTCTCGAGTATTTGATGGTGAGATGTGACCACCTAAAGAACTTAGTAGATTCGAATGTGACTACTCTATCGATCTTTTGTAAGTTTCATACTACAATTCATCTTATATTCTAAATCTATTAAATATAGACTCAAAGACAGTGTCAATCGTGCATCTTGAGACTTTGCAAGAAGTAAAAAGTCTGAGCAATATAAATATTCAAGACTGTCCATAATTATAAGAATAAGGTAAGTATATACTAGTAAATAAAATTTACCTTAATCATTGAAACAGGATTCTAACTTTTTAAATAGATATAAAGAATATGATCGAGTAAAAAGAGGGTTAAAGATTCAAGGTAGTGAGAGCTTCCCCAGGTCTCATTGCCCCAGAAACTGTTAACTCACTTCTTCTCTAAGTTTAAGCTAATAATACTATTATATGATCTTAATAACTCTTAATTTATTCATTAAATCATACAAGTGAAATCATCTTAAACGAAGAAATTTGAATGTGCGCATGAGTGCTAACTTTTGCGTCAGCGAGACAACTTGATTTTCTCAGAATTTATCATTTGTAGAAGGGGAACCTCTTTCATTTTTATTTTGTAAGTTGTATTATTTTTGTTTGCTATAGTTTATAATCACTAGTTCAACAAGGTGCTTTATTCAATAGATTAATCTCTAAGAGATAAATTAAGGTGAGATAGGAACATTAGAACTTTATAAATGAAAGGTGTGAGTAAAATAATAATATGAATTGATATTTAAAAGATTTACATTAAGATAATCAACTATCCAGATCTTAGCTATATCATGGATTCGGGGTTTTGGGGTTTTGGGGTTTTGGGGTTTTGGGG